TATTAGGGACTGAATAATATTCAAATCTTAGGGACTGAAGAACATGCTTAAAATTCACTTTTAGATGCTTTCCCGGAAAGGAATACTTCCCTCGGTGAAGGCTCTGTTACGAAATCAAGCAGTTAAAAGTTTGGAAATGCCAGATTTAAAGTTATTTTGCCATCTTAATCAGATTCTTTGTGCATGTGCATTATGATAATCTTTAACGATATGATCATACACATCTTTTTCCAAAAGACTTCTGTCTCAGTTAACCCAGTGGGACTACTCACATGCTTTAAAATTAAATGCACATAAGTCTTTGTATGATTCGGCCCTTATTTTCAAGGTAGTCCCCTTGACTTCAAAGATATTACTCATGAGTAAGATAGCTCTCAACTTAAGTAGAATAATTAAGCCTATGGAGTGACATTTTTGGGTGCCTAAATATATTTACATAAGACCCCTAATGTCTAATTTATTTATAGTTATAACCCTGTTTGCTTATGTATTAGTGCACAGTACTTAATATGGAATTGGCAGTGGGCAAAGAAAAAAAAGTGAGATGTTTTGAATTCTGGGTTGTAGATGGGAGGATCAAGTGAGAAATACCACGACCTAAAAAAGAATCAAGCAACATTTAAGCAGTATTATTTTCAGACATCTAAGTATATCTTCAACTAGTTAAGGTGTGGCTGGAAAACCATACTGCTCATATAACAATCTGGACAGGACATTGGGTTTTTTTTTTTTGTAGAACAGTTAGTGTTACTGATAGAATGACTTTTAAAGATTTTACTACTTGAGAAAATTAGATTTCAATTCAATAGAATTCAATAATGAGCACTCCAACAAACTGGGAAGAGGATCTGGATGAAAACTAATTCTCAGGCAGAGGTATGTTGGCTCTAAGTTGGGCAGCAAGTTTTAAACTGTAAAGGTTCTGTGTGAGAGAATGGTGAGGCTCTGAATAAAATTATACTTCTTTGCCAATTTTAGTTATCATACAAAACAAGATCTCATCACTATCTTTCATATAATTTTCAAGTGGCCTCAGTACTGTGCGGTTTATGGTTCTCCAAATCAGTATATTATTGGAATGGGCTATTTGCCACATTTCAGTGTAACAAAACCACAAAGAATCTCATAAATATGTAATCAGTGATATACTTTAGAGGGTTGTTATAATCTAAATTTAGAATTGAGAACATTAGTCATTACAGCTACAAATTTAGTGAGGCTTTGATGTAAAATACAGGTTACTTGAACCATCTCCTTTTTCAGTTCCTCAGAAACTACTCAGAAAAACTATGTCAGTAAGTCAAACCAATACCTGCATATAATTGATGTTTTCTATTTTACACACAAAGTCTAACATTTTAATAACCCGGGGCCAGGCCAGTCTCGAGCACTTGGCGGGTGCACACAAATGCCCCCGTGGGCGCGGGCACCGTGTGGGGACCACTGCCGTAGAGGGTGCTTTCATGGTTTTGGAGGGTGGCACCGTATGGAACGAGAGGAAACAGTGCCAGAGATGCCTGGCTTGTTTCCAACGCTCACTGTGCTCCAAGAGAGGGATGGCAGGGATCGAGTCGGTGACACCCTGGTCTTTTTGGGTGACGTGCTCTTGCTGTCAGCTTGGAACAGTGAGGGGCATTTTTGTGGGACAAGAGCCTCACCTAGACACCGGATACATGACAAGTGTCCATATGAGGCGTGCATGGCCTTGTGACATGTTGCACAATTGGCATGACCATATACAGGGCTTGCTGAACTATGTAATCTACTTGACCACGGCGAGTAGATTTTAGCCCAGCGTGGCCGCTCAGTGCAGTCTGTGCATGCGCAGCACAGCGCATTATTAGGTGATGAGCTTTCGTGGGCCAGACCCACTTCCTCAGATCAAATTGTGGAAGAAAATTGGCATGACCAGATATACCAAAGGGATACAATCAAAAAAAGGGAACACACCTAAAATAGACAAATCAGATTTTAGAACACAAGGGGGATGAAGGGGGAGGAGGTTAATGTCTATGAGATAACGATTTTAGAGGTGATAATTGAGGATGCTATCTTTGTAATGGGTAAGATAATTAGCATCTTTGTTAAGGCCCATTCATAAAGTGTCAAATTTAAGCATGAATGACAGTTCAGAGGCTTCTCTTTGAAGTCTTGTGTTAAAGTCTCTTTGAAGCAGGATGCAGGTAGTCAGGTAATTGAGACAATGCCCAGTCTGGTTGAAATAGCAAGAAACTGTTTTTCCTTTGTGAAACTGTTTGATGTCTGTTTTGCGAGCATTGATTCTTGGGTGAAGAATCTACTCATTTTAAAGGTAGCTCAGCACTGATACATAAGCACTTTAGGTAAAACTAAATTATCTGAAAAGTTGCATTTGTGCAAGGCCAGGGGAAAAGCTTGCTCATTACAGATGCCAAGCAAAAACCACCAGTTTTATTCAGTCCTTTTATGAGGTTTTAAATAGGAGCAACTTACATAAAACAAATCTCAAACAGGCTAAACTTAGAACAGTGTGGCTTATAACTAATTGAGTTTAAACTTGTACAATTTTTGACAACCACTAAACTTAAGTAGCTACTATCTATCCACTTGGATTGATGAAGCAAAAGAATTTCAAAAAGCTTTTGCTAGTCTTCTCTTGGCCCGTAAAGGCCAAATCTGCCATGTGCTGTCCAGTCTCCTTATCTTCAGAGTTGACTCTGGGTATTCGGCTGGCTCTTTCAATGTGTTTTTTTATTTCTCCAGGTGGGTAACTGAGGTTTATAAATACTTGGTAGAGATCCTGAAGTTTCTGGTCTCTGTCAGTGGGATTAGAGCAGATGGCAGTAGATGGTTTCTGGGTATTCGGCTGGCTCTTTCAATGTGTTTTTTTTTTATTTCTCCGGGTGGGTAATTGAGGTTTATAAATGCTTGGTAGAGATCCTGAAGTTTCTGGTCTCTGTCAGTGGGATTAGACCAGATGTGGTTGTATCGAAGGGCTTGGCTATAGACGATGGATCGTATGGTGTGTTCTGGATGGGAGCTGGAGGCATGTAGGGTAAATGTATGAGTCAGTGGGTTTTCTGTAGAGAGTGGTATCTAATTTACCATTGGTGATTTGTATTGTGGTGTCCAGGAAATGGATCTCTCATGTAGAATGATCCAGGCTGAGATTGATGGTGGGGTGTAGGTTGTTAAA